CTGGAACTCATTATTTTTAAAGTCTCAAGTTAACACCAGGTCACGAAGACCGTCAGGCTCTGTTTTAAATCTCATATGTGCATTTAACTAAAAACGAAAATGTATATACATATATAGATATAGAATGATTTGGCTAGCTCTCCTTCATATTAATCCTGGTATTTTTAATTGAGTGCAATCAAACATACAAACATACTCAAGTTAAAATGCCATGACTAATATGAAATTTAACCAGCCAAATCATTCTATATCCATCTATCTATATCTATATGGTTTAGTTTATTGCTATGACTAGTTACAATAGGTAAGATAGAGCCAAATAGTCTTCTTGATCTATTATTAACGTTAGACTTCGACAAGAATGAGTTATAGCTCCGATTATGTCCATCATATGATAGAAGAAAGCATAGATTATCTTCTCCAGAAATGAGGAAAGATGGCTCATGGATTGCGTCAAGTTGTACGTCATATTAAAGCTAAACAGCCACAAAACCAACGGAATCGGACATGGTCTTCCGGTGAGATCAATTAACTGATACCTTCATCATGCAATTGCATTCGATTTGAAAGCCTCCCCCAGCAAAACTGCCGTTCCCCATTGATGCAAAAACCCTCGGAGACGCGATACTAAGTCAAATCCAATGAAATTGGGGCCTACTTATATCATTGAGGAAAATTCCATTATAAATCCCTAAGCCATTTAAGGCGAATTAAGGTTAATTTACCGATCTTTTCGAAAAATGCTTTAATATAAAATAGTTTTCTTAACTCGTTGTAAGAATACAGCACGGCTCTGATGACGCTCGAAAGATGATAAATTGTAACTTAGCGCCTTTTCATTGTAAACACAAAATGATGTCTTGGGGATTGCATCAACTTAGACGAAATAATAAAATCAAACTACAGCAAAGGAACGGCAATTCACCGTCATATTCTAGTAATATAACACAATTAATCGCATCGCTACATGCTTTCACTATTAATTAAATCATATTTAACGATAGTATCCCAAAAGCGTCCTCAAAGATAGACTATATGAGGAGAGATGCTTTCAATATATTTCAAATCTATAAGAGATTTTGGATATATGAACTTTGAAAGAGTTGAATGAGATTAGTGAATTTATTATTTCATGTCTTAAAGAAAACTGTCAGCATATGAATAATTAATGGATAAATTTGGACTCGGATAATCCACTCATAGTAAACATCTATTTTTAAAAATCATGAGGACCATATACAATAGTCATTATGAGTTGCACCTCAATTAAGGATCTTGATTCATTTGTAATTTATTATTATCCCATTACTTGATCCTTGCCTTCGTATCTCAGGGTTGGATTCGGATTACAATGAGCCTTCAACCTTCCAGTCCACGGTAAGCTGAGGATCATTATCCTTACATGTTTTTGATTTGTGCCCTTTTTTCTTGCATATTTGTAATGAAATATGAGACCGATAACTTCGCAAATCAAACAGTAATTATGGCAAATATAATTTGCTTCTTCAACAACAAAGGAGTCTTAATAAATCTCACCGTAAACTCCAAGTAAAGATTTCTTTAGAAATATGGCTTAATAAAAATGTAAATAGGCAAGAGAGGAGAGAAAGAATGAAGTGATGGGTAGCAAAGAGTCTGCTGGGCATTTGTAATTATATTGGAGCGTAAATGGCAGTGTAAGGATCCAATAGGCAGGAATGGAGGTTGAGGACAGGGAGTAAATTATATCTAAGGCTAATTAAATTTTTTGAGATGGAAACAAAAACAAGGCCTAACAGTGATCCCACTTAAGCAATGTAAGCTGCTGCCAAGTTCAATGGTTTCGAATCGTTTTACATCTCATATAACTGATTTTCTGGTAGTCTCAAAACTATGCTTATACACACGAAAATTAGTTGACTATTTCCGAATCTGTCCGATTTATGAATTATATCTCAGTCCACAAAGTGTTTTAAAAGGTGTTTCTTATGAAGGAATAGATTTCGAGGCAAATTCAAGCATTGCCCTTGATTCGTATCGGCTTAATTTGCTAGCAATTCTAGATAAACTCCAGTCGGAATAATAAAAAATATCAAATTACGGTTAAACATATTGTCACTAACTACATAAGAAGAGGGCCAGACAGTAAGCAATTGCAAATTTTATTCAAAAATAGTCGGTAATAAAAAAATTAAGTTTGGAAGAAAAATAGCTTTTTGGAACGAGAGGTCTATACTCAGACTTCATAAGACCCCACATTAGATCAATGCACTTCTTGCATTTCCTTGTCAAGGTTGGCACAATTGTTGGTTGAAATTACACTTTTTGGCGGGTCGTTAAGCTACTCCTATTGTTTTCTAAATAGTTTTAGATTGTTTGCAAGCAAACTTTAAGCGTTTATAAAAAACTTAATGATTTTTGTTTTATTTCAGGTCGCGCCTTCGAGCCTGACCAAAGAAGATATGTCTTCATTTAGCGCGACTAGCGCTGATATGCTGCCTGACCAAGGGAATGAATATTTGATGAACCTGATGATTACCCCAAGTGGCTTTGAGGTAAAAGACGCGGGATTACTAAAAGAAATAACTCTCCAGTGTCTAGAAGCTGATTTAAAACAATGTGCAGAAACGATAAGGTATTTTGCTAATTACATTACAAAAATCCCTTTCTCTAATTTTTCGGAATTTATGAGTTACTTATACCCGGTAATGACCATAACACCTGTATTTTTCATAATCCAGGAAAGAGAGATTTATTTGGAAATTATGTTAACTTTAGCTCAATTATGCCATGGAATACAAAAATGATGTGTATAAGTTTTTATATTCTTGCCCATATGATCGGGTTGCATAATAGGATTTGTCAGCCTCTTTTTTGTACTTTAATGCCGGTACCGTAAAGCAAATTAATAAAATTTAATTGGAACATTCGTTTAGCATGGACTTGCAAACAGAAATGGTTTATTAGATCCAAGTTTTGCCAAGTTATGCCAACATGCGTATACAATCTTTAAATTCTGGCCAGTAGCATCACAACCAGACAAATCACATCAAGCTCATGGCACAATCAGAGATGCTCTGTTCTGGCTGGTTCACTTACTAATCATCCGCCAAGATCATCTTAATTGGAGTTACGAAGAAAGAGAATCTAGTCAACATGTAGAACAAGCTGAATTTCCTTCCCTCTTTATTGCAGTGACTACGAGATAACTTAAGAAAGAGTATGTAGGAAAATGCTTATCCAACATAAATGCTTTTGCATATTCTACAACAATTGCATCATTCTCTGCGTTCTTACCAAAGCTTTGAGCATGATCCTCATGGTTCAATTGCCCATAAGTGTAATAAACCTTCTTCTGATATGATTTTATGACGCAATCTGTACCGACTTTGAGATGGTTGCTACGATTATGTTATCTAATAAAAGAATTAAGTAGATCTCTGTTGTCAGCTTTAGACCCAGATCAGGATGGAACTCAGGATTTGGGCATGAATTAAATTTATGAGACGTCCTGGCAGAAGTAGGGAATGTTGTCATACTGCTCAGACAAAATACGCTTTTATTAATTTTCATATGCCTCATCTCAAGCAATCTGAATTGGGATAAGGAAACTAATCAAAACAAATGTTTAACTTGACTCATCCCTCAGACTTCAGATAAAATTCAATAAACTTACTGGCATTTATCAAATAGCCTAACCTTAGCGTTGTTTATTCCCATAAAATACCTTTACCCTTCTCTATCAGACACTTCTCACGCCCGCAAATATTTAAAATGGTTCGCGACCGTATCCTCCCTGATGCCATACACAATTTGACGCTGGAACTGCCTAC